AACATCCATAAGTAAAATTTATTATTGATAGGATCATATATACACAAGTTATAAAATCTCTACACAATATGTACATCATACGTAATCACTATTCATAAAAAATAGTATTATCAACATCATTGGTTTTAGATCATATTCACATTTGTACCAAGATGCAACTGAAGACACAAAATACTGATGGTTGAAGGCACTGGGGTCACACTGGAATCACATGCAGAGGAGGCAGGGGGAAGAGAGGGTCGTCTCGGTCACGTCATCTGAACACACTGGGGTCCAGAGCCATTCAGACATTGGTTTACGACGTCTAAGCATGTCACACTGTTTTTTCTGTCGGTGTTAGCATACACATGCAGTCAAGTGAATATATACATACCATATATTCACCATTTTTTTCGAGACTGTATGTGCACCATCAGAACAAAAGGCCAGTGTTTTCTTTTGTCAGAAGGTAGGCACTGACGAGTTGAATATGTTTGATAGTTTTTATGGATTATCTGATCTGTTTAAATCAAAAGGGAACTGTATATGACTATTATTATACCAAAAAAATGGACCTTCTGTAACTTAAGATTGTTTGGCAGTGAAAAAACGATAAATGAAAGTTACGATTTCTTTATTATGATATAAAATTTGAATACCAAGTAATATGCAAAACAATACTGATGGTAATAATGGTCCACTTTGTTTACTTTCGTAATGGTTCTGCAGTTATCTCAATAACATATATTCATTAGACATTACTGGTATTTACCCTTTCTAATAATCCACAATAATAAAACTGTTCAACTCAGTACGTAAATGGTGTATTCTTGAAGTGGACATCAGTCATCTTGTCAACTATTAACTATCAGTAGGAAACGAAGACTTTCACACAAATCCTGCAAGCTGTGACTACTGGCCATACATATATCATGCACCACACCATACTTCTCTGCAGTTTCAAAGTACTTCTATTGCATGATAAAATATCCTTATTATGACAAGCTCAGTGATAGCTAATAGTGATAATACTCGAAAGGTTTACGACATCAAGGTTTTGTAGTAAAATAGAATCTATTTCATTCTTTGAATGAGATGAAGCAGTTCACAAGAAACCTTACAAATGCACGTGAAATATGTGTAACTCAATAAGGACTTGTGCTATGTTTACATTTATGAAAAGTAGAAAATGCAGAATGTACTTCCGGCTGAACCTCACTAATCAGGCAGTCATTGAAAGGGTCTACCAGGTCATGTACAGTGACGCTACACCACCCTGGTTAATTGATATTTTGCCTCTAAGTATGCCTTATACCAGTTAGGAAGCTATCTGGTCACAAACTTCTCGGACTTGTGAGGTTCAACCTTCATATTTTAATAGGGCAGTTGGAATGAAGTTGAATTATAAAATAAAGCGAAAATGAAACACTTACTCCCTTAAATAAAATTAGCAGGATTTAGATCAGCTATAAGTGGATGCTATCTAACTGACTGAACAATATCAGCAATGGAATGCTGTTGGATTTGGGTATTCTCGCAGTGATCATTATGGTATATCTTTTTAAAACAACCTGTACTGATTTTACTTTGTATATCCAGAAAATGGCAAGACTGAAAGTAAGCCATAATAGAAAACATATTAACAGTTATAATCATGTTTCATACACATAAATCATTAGGCAAATATGTATACAAACTTGTAAAAGAACAACTTACTGAACCCAAATCAAGCAGATATCACCAACTTAGCCCTTAAATCAGGCTTGTATTTTATATTGTAAGCAAGAGTGAATTCGTGTTATGTTTGACTTGTATGATCTGCACTTATGGTGTGAAGGCTTGGCCTAATAGCGGTAGGGAAAAGTCAAAATTTGTTTTCTTTTCTATTTATTTATATATAATATATACTTATTTCTTGGATTGATGAGAAAATGCTTGATGAACATCCCTGATGTCAAAGAATCACTGAGTTTATAGATTCACAGCCTTGTAGAGCACTGACCTTGCTTTAAACATACTTGATACGCATCGTCAAGTAAAGGAAGTGAGTCTACAAAGATCATCAATATGTACACATGAATAAGGTGGAACAGGCAACTTTGACTCTAATGTTGAACCCTCCTTTTTTTTACTGAAGAGACGAAATTGGAATAAAGCCATGTTTGAAATGACGTGCTGTCCTTTTGATGAAATAAACGTCGGAATTCTTGCATTAGACTCAAGATCACCCGAATATCTAAGACCATTTCTTAAAACTCACAATAAAGCTTCGACACTGAGCTGACGGTGAACCTCTCTCCAAAGGCACCAATGAATATCTAGGAAATATATACTCTGTGATAGACTCTAATCTCAGTTGTTGATAAAACACGACACTGAAGACCGTTGCACATATATCTACATAGCAATATATATACTTATAAAACATCCAGTGCATTACTGTCTATAGATGTTATTTATTGTTCTTCAGTACACATTTCACTGTGAGATAACTCACTTCACTGGTTTTGCACAAGTTTTATCAAATATTGACAAGACCATGCCATACACATTTACATTGAGATCACATAAACTTACACATATATCCATGTTCAGTGTTTATGTTGCAGTGACAGTACTGTCTGTCAGAAAATCTTTTACATTCACATAACTCAACCTTGTGATAAATATCAAGTATTTTGTGTCTATAATTGTCCAAATGTTCGCTGCACATATAAGGGTGAATATATATATATATTTTTTCTTTCTCTTTCACTTTTAGACAAGAGTATCCAACACATAAACTCCCTCGTCACTACTACTGTGGAGCGAACTCAGCCCTGTGTCTGAGTTCGAGTCTGTTGAGTCTGTATCTTTTCCTCCTCCTTCACTGGCTTTGGTGGAGGAAGGGAGTGAGGACGAGGGTAACGACGTGGAGGAAGAGGAGGAGGACTTTGGTGCTGAGGTGCTGGGGGTCTTGCTGCCAAACCCGCTCGTGTTACTACTCGTCGAGGCTTCAGACGAGGTGCTGGACCGCGAGCTCACGCAGAGACTGCTGTTTTTGGCCGAGTCCCCGTCGTCCTCGTCCTCCTCCTCGTCTATGGGCGGAGGGCACGCGGGCAAAGGAGGCGGGACGTCCTTGTCGTCTGACGTCGAGTTATTTTTGCTGATCTTATTATTAAGCTTTGTGGAGGGTGGTGCCACTGCGACGGGTGCGCTGGCACTATTTACAGGAGGGACTCTCGGCGTGGCACTGGCGGCTGTGGTCGCGGTGGTGGCGGCTGTGGGAGGGACGTGCACCTGGGGAAGAGGGGGGTCCGCGGGGAGGCGAAAGGCCGTGGGAGGAAGGTGGATGATGTAGTCCAGGTGTTCTCTCAGGGCCTGCGTCTCTCGGTCGGATTCCGTCTCCTCCTGCAGCAACATCTCCAGCTGCTTGCGCTGCTGCCAAAGCATCGCCTCGGTTTCCCGCAGTCTCTGCTCGTTCTGCCGCACGTCCGCCACCAGCTGCGCGTGCACGTGCGCGACGCAGACCAGCTCCTGCTGCAGCAACTCGGCCTCGTCTTTGTGTTGCTCGTGAGCGGCCTGCACAGCGGTGTTCATCCCCGACATGGTCTCCTCCTCGTGCAGCAGGCGGTTGTTGAGGTCCTCGATCCTCGTCAGCTGCGCCGCGATCTGCTGCAACTCTTCCAGCTCCGACGACGTGGCCGCCTCCTCCTCCGCCGTCATGCCCTCCAGCGTCTGCGACGCCTCCTCCGTTACCACGCCCGAGTCGTTGCTTTTCTCCTCGCTCCCGGGCTCGTCCTTGGTCTCGCAGCCATCGTCCTTGAGGTAGGAATGCAACAAGTAGTCCCTGCCAAGGTTCTGGACGCGAAGGAGGTGCATCTGCTGCTCATATTGCTCGATCTGGCACTCCCGCTCCTGCAGGCGCCGCAGCTGCGTCTGGATGGTCTCGCCCTGGGCCACCACCAGCCGCATCAGCCGCTCCATCGTCTCACTGCAAGAGAACCCAAGTTAGAGTCTCATCCACGGCGTTATGGCGACAACAGATTCATGCAATAACTGCTCGATGAACAAAAAATCATCTTTCAAAATGAATTTAGAGAAAGAAGATATCCGAGAAAGGATTATGAGTTTGATGAGCAAAAGCGTGGGAGTTACAAAATAACAGGAGGAATTATCAAAAATACACATGTATGCATGACACATGCATGAATGTCTGTATGTATGTATCAGTTCTCCTAGGCTAATTCATATCTATTTAAAAAAGAAAAACATACATGAGTGTGTGTATGTGCGTGTGTGTATGTGTGTATGTGTGTGTGTGTGTGTGTGTGTGTGTGTGTGTGTGTGTGTGTGTGTGTGTGTGTGTGTGTGTGTGTGTGTGTGTGTGTGTATGTGTGTGTGATTTTGCGTGCGCGTGTGTGTGCGTGTGTGTACATGCGACGTGTGTGTAGGCGTGCATGTAATAAATTCAGTACTCAAATCCAAAGTAAAAGCTATCTCCAAAGCAGCCAATCAGAGCCCACGCATCACACACAATCCTGCACGATCGCATGTCTCTCGGCCCGAGCTGCTCACCCAGCGCGGCCTTGAGACAGCGTGACTGAAGGATACAAAAAGGGGTGTCGGCAGTACCTCCTGAAGAAGGGCAGAAGAGACATGGTTTTCGGCGGCCCGCACCGAGGGCGGCACACTCCTCCCATGAACTTCATTGTGATTGTCTAGTCCCAAAACAAATTGTAAAAACTATGTCTATTATGAGGTGTCTCGCTCCAAGTACTATATGCTGAGAAACAGCTTCTAAAACCAGCAAAAATATTTAGAATACAATTAGCGGTCTAGAGATTCGAAGTTTTTGTCGAGTCCCGACATAAGACTTGTAGTTCAAATACCTATAAGATAACTCGCAGCAACAGCCTCTAATCAAGCCTTGGAGGATTTGGATCCCTAATTTTCACAAAAAGTGTCTACGCTCATTGGGTATTCCGGGCACGCGCACTCCTCATTCGCAGCGTGTATACGTTCTCCCTTCATTCTCCTCCGATCATCTCGCGGGCGCCTCATGCAAACTAAAGAGCCGAGAAAGTTCCCTCTTCGCCCGCCCCGTCGTGGATCGAGACCAGGAGAGTTAGCTCAGCCTCTCACTAAATCAGGTTTTCTCAGTCTCAACTCCCCCCAGACTTACTCGGTGGAATCGCAATTCGGAATGTCGCTTGCTCTACTGTTGCATTTTCCTTCTCTCTACTGCGTCTCCCTCACTTCTATTCCGTCCTGGCCTCCCCTGCCGCTCCCTGCTGCTCCCTGTCGACCCCTGCCTCGCTTCCTTGCCCCGTAGCCTTCGCCCGCGGTTCCCCCTTCACTACGCTGGACATGTACGGTTTCCGCGCAGCCGAGACGCACTTTCTCCACGTCCGCGCGTTTACCCCCGGGCTCTTCCGTTCATTCGTCGTGCCTGCGTATCCCGCGCACGAACAAGTAAGCGACAAAAACTGTATTGAGTATTATTCTCATCTGCTTTCTCTCTGCCTGCACGACGCTCTCCGAACCTTCCTAACTACAATCACTATATCTCGCTAAAAAACTACGGTTGGCTTGGTCGACGTCGAGCACACTATCGCTTTCGGGATGTCACACTTTCCACTTTTCGTCACTGGCGGTACGTCCCTAAACTTCAGCGTCTGTCCTTGGCACCGAAGGTCACTGCATCCTACGAAGCAGCAATGCACTAGCTCGCAGACGTCTTGGCACTATGGGCGTTAGTCTGGTTCCGAAGGCGTTAGTCTTGGGTCCTACGACGTCGTAGGTCCGGGCAAGGGTCCAGTGTGTCCTCGCGGTGGCACCTGAATGCGCTGTGGGCAGGGGTGCCACCGCCGAGAGCCCGCCGCCTCCTCTCCCTCGTGCCCTTCACTCCTGCGCGAGGATGCCACTGCTGATTCGCCCCGCGCCCTTCACTTACGCTTACCTCCTAGCAATCGGGCCTCTTTGAGGCCATGCACAACTTGGCAAAGAAAAATAGTAAAGCTTCCCGCGGGAAAGTCGCCATAAAAAGAATAAACGCTGTTATAAATGAAAATTAATGAATGAAAGTTGCGCGCCAATACACTAGGTGGCATCCGCGTTCGCGTGCGGACCCTTCACCTGGAGATGTCCGACCTGTGACTTTTTCGGCCACGTGTCCGCGCAGGAGATGGCGTAACAGGTGTCTGCGCTGGTGATTGTACTTTGGCATTTTTATGCCCTAGCCGCTTGGAGGAAAAAAGTCTATATGAATCAATATTTGCCAATGCGCCCTCGCCCCCAGTCCTTGACACCTTTCCTTGTTTTGCTCAGGTCCATAAATCGTGAAATTCAAAATCGGAGATCTTTAATTCATAATAATGTATATACAATACCTACAAATAACACTTTAACAGCTTACTGGTCTCTATCCAATGCAGCAACGTAGGTGTAAGCTGCTCTTTAACGCATTGAATGAACGCGAGCGACCCAAGTAACAAGCAGCGGCAAGGTCGTCCGTGCTAAGGGTTGCCCAAGAATTCCCGCCTTCTCGCCCACACAACTTCCTCGACCTTAACTCGGGGTCCCCGAACTACGGTTTTTGTGCCTCCTTTTACCTTGGATAACTTTCGCGCCTCTTCGCTAATTCACTTTATGACGGGCGGGAGACTGTGCCATGGGTAGCCACCGGTGCCACTCGACGATGCAGTCACGGCGGGCACGCGGTCGGGCACCAAGGCTGATATCTCGTCTCGGCGGAATTCCAGACGGAAACGCTCTATCACAGGAAACGCGTGAACTTAAGCTCAATTCTTGGCCTTTGTAATAAATCAAAGGCAATGAAAGCATCATGACTATCAACCATTCAATTCCTCTACTTCGATGGAGAAATGTTGCAGAAGGGGCCAGGGGGAACTGGCTATGGGGGGGAGAGGGGATTGCAATTGACCTTACCAGGCAACCTCTACTCTCAACTACGATTCCACGACAAGCTATTTTGAAAAATCCGCTTTCCGTTTTATTTATCGACAAACTTCAACTTCAAAAGGCTTGATTTAGTGATCACTGACTAAACAAAGTCTACGCTTTCGCATCCCCTCCTCTTCACCATCCTCACGGCGGCCGTCCTTCAGCTGGCCCGCTCTGGCTCTGCATCAACTGCAATTACCATTATCCACTTCTCTACACAATACTACTGCTCTGACCACTCCTATTTTTTCTATTGGCACTACTATTCTTATGACACTAATAACAGTAGTAGTACTAGTAGTCGCAGTTGTTGTAGAAGTACTCATAGCAGTATTAGTAATAGTAGTAGCTGTAATAGTAGAAGTAATAGTGGTAGCAGTTCTAGCTGTAGAAGAAGAAGAAGGAGAAAAGGTAGTAGCAGTAGAAGTAGTAGTAGTTGTAGTAGTTATATAAGTAGTAATAGAAGTAGATACAGTAGAAGTAGTGGTAGTAGCAGTAAGAGAAGTAGTATTAGTAGTAGTAGTAGTAAAAATAACAGTAACAGCCGTAGTAGTAGTAGAAGTAGTAATAGTAGAAACAGAAGTAGAAGTAGTAGCAGCAGCAGCAGAATAGTACTGCTACTGCTACCCCCACTACGAGTACTACTGCTTCTACTATTAATACGAAGAACATTGATATCGCGATTCCGCTCCCCTCCTCACTCCTTCTGCCGCCCTCCTCCGGCCGGGCCGGAAGCCTCACCTGAACTTGGGGTCGTCCTTGGCCAGCTTCTTGGGGTTGAGCGCCTCCTTGGAGCCGTGGACGTTCCGCATCCTGTGTCGCCGTCGGCTTCTCTCCGCGCGGCCGCTGCTGCCCGCGCCGCCGGCCGCCTCGCCGTCGCGCATCTTCCGCAGGGAGAACCGCACCTCGCCCACGGCCTCGCCCCACGTTCGCCACACCTGAGGGCAGCGCCGAAGGGAAGAAGGGCGTTAGCGGGAAGAACGAGAGTCCTTTTAAGGATCGTAATGAGGCAAAATCCTGGTTTAACAGGTTGTTTAAAGGAGATTGTATGGGTTTCTCGCGATCATCCGTAACAAAAGCAACCCGAAGTCACCTACCTTGAGTATTCTTTGCTCGTGGTCCAGAGGTCGCTCCACTTTGCGCCATCTCTCCACGATAACGTACTGCATGACGTCACTGTCCTCCGCGCGCGCACTCTGCGCCCGGAGAAGCGCCTTGATGACGTCATGGCAGGTGGTTCGCCGCGTCACCCCCGTCACCCACTTCTGCACGCCGTCCACCCACACCCCGATCTCCGCGTCACTCGTCATCTCGCCCCTGCAGAAAGGAAGAGCACATTGGTTAGTTATTCGTTGTATTTGGGATTCTGCGGGTCTCGGGGCGGCACCTGGCAACCCCGTCGCGCTGCTCCAGCAACACGCGATCCTCGCTGGGGCTCCGACGCGCCCGATCCACGCGGGCTTCACAGGGGAGCTTTCCGTGTCTTTCTGGGAATATTGTCTTTTTTTAATTATGTCTAATGTGGTTCTCTCTCGCTTTGCCAGCCCCTCTCTCTATTACTCTAAAAGTTATTAAAAACAATAAATGTATCTAGGATATGTAAAGGATATAAATATATATGTATCTTTAAAAAATGGTATAAGATAAAAAGAATAAAGTAAATAAATGCATGGATTTGAATTTCAGTATGTACACACACACACACACACACACACACACACACACACACACACACACATATACATATATATATATATATATATATATATATATGTGTGTGTGTGTGTGTGTGTGTGTGTGTGTGTGTGTATGTGTGTGTGTGTGTGTGCGTGCAATCAGTCCATCTTTGTCCCATAGTACCACAAAATGCCCCACAACATATGTAAGACGTTCCGAAGGTGTCTGCGGCCCCCTCCCGCCCCTCCACCACGCCCCTCAGGTGCGGATCCGGCCGCCCGCCCTGATAACATTCCCGCCCGCCGCCGACACATGCCCGCCGTAACAGCCAAAACGCATTAGAGGAGCCACCGACGCCGCCTCGCCAGCCGTGCCAACACCCGCCCCTCCGTCCCTCGGTTCCGTGCGTCTGGTCGTCCGTCTGTCCGCTCGCTGCCTGCCGCTGATCTTTCCTTTCCTCCCTTCCCTTTTATTCTCAAGTTGCTGCTTTCCCTATACGCCATCGGAGACTCCATCGCCCCCCATTCGGAGCATCCCGGACGGCGAAGGAAAAGGCGCGCCGCGTTCCCTCCGCCTCCCCGACTGGCAACGCTGCTATCCCGGGCGATCTCGGAAGGTTACCTGGCCTCGGCGATTGGTCCCCTAAGATGCAGTCGATAAGAACGAACGAGAAAAGGGAAAAAGAACAAGAAGAAGATGGAAAAAAAAGAAGAGGAAGAAAAAAAATACGAGCCGCCGATTTTGGGGTCGATTCTTATCGCTACCATTTGTACAACATGTGTAAAAAACAACGGAATAACGGATAAAACCTCTTAATGGAAGGACAGATGGCGTGTACCCGGGCAATCCCTCGCAGATGACCAGATAGGCAACGACAGATAGAGAGGTTTTCCTCAAAGATAATACACGCCTACAATAAAAAAAAGACAAGAGAGAGTGTTCGCGCAGACAAACGTGGGCTGAAGTAAAAACTGGGCTGCAAATTAGCGACGACCCAGAGCTGGTTTTGCCTTTGGATTCTGCAATACTTGGGAGTTTAATTACATTGTGCTTATAAGTAATTTCGTACTGTATGCCAACATCAGGAACATGTGATTCCACTTTGTATCTGCGGTGGCTGCATTTTCGTCTTAAAAGTGTGATCGTTAGTACAACATTCCAGCGAGACAAGAGAATGAGACAGAGAAAGAGAAAATATGAGAGAGAGAGAGAGAGAGAGAGAGAGAGAGAGAGAGAGAGAGAGAGAGAGAGAGAGAGAGCAGGATAGAGTGAGTATGTGTGAGAGCGAGAGAAGGAGAGACGGCGTGAGTGAGAGTAAGAGTAAGAGAGGGGAAGCCAGAAAGATGGGGATGGGGGGGGAGGAGAAAGGAACAATTAAAACATAGAAAAAAAGGGACAGGAACGAAACAGGAAGAGAAGTCGGGGAGAACAGAAACTCTTACCAACCCATATACTGCTCCTGTGTGTCACCCCCCCCCTCCGCCTTAAAGCAACAAATCTCTCCCTCCCCCCCCCCCGTCTTCATCCGCCCTCTGGTGACAAATTTGCGAGTGAAAGTGGCCCTCAAGACGACATAAACACACACACACACACACACACAGTCACGAGCTCTGCATCAACCAACCACGTCTTCTTGTGAAATTCTATGAAAACTTGAGCTATTAATCTAAAAGGTAACAGGAGATTGCGTCTGTGGGGATGGGGGTGGGGGGTGAAGGAGAGGGGGTATAAATGAATGTGACACGTACTTTAAAACGTCTCTCAGTCCTCTCTGTTTTTACTCTTTTCTTATCTATTTTGGAATTTGCTGATTAGTTTTCGCTAATCTTGTTATCTTTATTATCTTTACAAGTCATCGTCATCATCTCTGTCCATTCCTTCATCACCACAGTGTTATCTTATTACTCTATTTACTTCTTCCTCCTCTTCCTCCACTATCCCTCCCCATCCTCTCTTTCTTTATCTTTTTATTTTTATTTTCTCCTCCCTCCTCTCTCTCTCTCTCTCTCTCTCTCTCTCTCTCTCTCTCTCTCTCTTTCACTCTCTCTCTCTCTCTCCCTCCATCTCTCTTTCTCTCTCTCATCCTCCATCTCCATTTCTCTCTCCCTCCATCTGAATCAGTCTCTCCCTTCATCTCCATCTCTCTCTCTCTCTCCCTCCCTCCATCTTTCTCTCTCTCCCTCCATCTCCATCTCTCTCTCCCTCCATCTCCATTCCTCTCTCTCTCTCTCTCTCTCTCTCTCTTTCTCTCTCTCTCCCTCCATCTCCATCTCTCTGTCTCTCTCTCTCTCTCCTTCAATTTCTTCTTTAACACGAAAATTAAAGGTTCAAAGACCAGTTTCACCTTCACTGTGCTACAACTCCAGGAACCTCTTTGTTGTGCTCACTATCCTGCCCTGGGAGGTAAAGGCAAGGAAAGGCAGGGGAAGAAACAGGGGAACAAGGAAACAGGTGAAGAAAGGAAGGGAGGGAGGAAGGAAGGGAGGGAGAAAGGCAGGGGGAAAGGAAGGGGGAATGGGAGGGAAAATGGAGATAAGGAGACAGTAGAGAAGACAAAAGGAGGAAGAAGGGTAGTTGGGGATAATGAGGGTAATGGGTTTTGATGGACTAATGGATTTAGGAGGACAAAGGAAGATCGGGATGAGGGGGGGGGGAGGTGTGGAGGGAGGGAGAGGGAGGGAGGGAGAAGGGTCAGGAGATAATGGAGATGATAAGGAGATAAGGAGCAGTTGATGGCGGAAGTGGACGAAAGGAGGGAAGGTGCACAGCTCTTCGCCACCGGTTGATGTTATCTTGTGAGTGGTTGCGGGCGGGCCGGCGAACCTCCGCGGGTGGTGGCCGTGGCGATCCCTGGGTGGGGCAGGGGGAGGGGTGGCGGGAGGAGGGAGAGGATGGGGACGGTGTGACGATGGAGGAGGAGGAAGAGGGGGAGGAAGAGGGGGAGAAGGAGGAGGAGGAGGAGGAGGAAAAAAGGGGGAGGACGTAGAGAAGGATTATGATGATGGGGAGGAAGAGACTTCGGATGTTTTATTATAGGAAGCGTTAGACTGGAGAGAAGTACATAAATACTAACACACACACACACACACACACACACACACACACACACACACACACACACACACACACATACCGAGACTGACGACTAAACCACACACACACGAAAAAAACCCGGCCGCAAGATGAGGCGAGGGAGCCCAGCCTGTAAATGCACATAACATGGAAGACATAACGACACGCTGGCTGGCTGTGAAATTCACCCGAAAAAAAAGCGAAAAACAAAACAAAGAAAGCTAACAAACCATACAAACGAACAAAATACAATAAACGCAAATACAAATAAAAGTTGAAATCGAGGCGCGCGCCGAGGTGGGACCAGCCACGAGTATCTCACGCACGAGACGCGCCACACGCCGGAAGTGGAGTGTCCCGGCGCCACCGTCCCGTGTCCGCGGCGATCAAATTAGAGAAAAACACAACCCCCTCTCTCCCCCTCTCCCCCCCTTCCCCCTTCTCCCCCTCCTTCATTTGGACGCGTCCGTTTCCGTGCATGCTCTTGCTCTGACTCGACCTTCTCTTTCCGGAGTTGAAAGGGTCGAGGGGGATGCTGTGCGACGGTGTTGTCCGAATGGGTGTTGTGGAAACGGTTTTAGTTGAGAAGATCAGCGCAAAAGTGTGGATTATGTAGAGGCCTGTAGCTGAAGTCAGTTCCGTCGGGCGGACGAATTTATCGGTTGGTCGTAAGGAAGGGGTAAATTGGGCTGGGGGAGGGAGCTAGGATTTACAGAGGGTGGGTTAATGGCGAGTGTTAGGTAGAGGTGCTGCTTCACCTCGCATCTCTCTCTCTCTCTCTCTCTCTCTCTCTCTCTCTCTCTCTCTCTCTCTCTCTCTCTCTCTCTCTCTCTCTCTCTCTCTCCCTTTATCTCTCTCTCTCTCCCTTTATCTCTCTCTCTCTCCCTTTATCTCTCTCTCTCTCTCTCTCTCTCTCTCTCTCTCTCTCTCTCTCTCTCTCTCTCTCTCCGCTACCGTGGGAACCTCCCCCGCCCCCCACACTCACACTCAGCTACAAGTAGAGGTCGTCGAGGAACAACCTGTACCCGCACATCCGTGATAGATGATGTCACACTTCATCATTATAAGGATCCTAAACATAATTTACTTCGGAGGAATAGACGATCGCCTCGAGGGGGATATTCGTATGTCTTGAGGTAACACACCGAAAAATAAACTACATCTACTAAAACCGAATATTTATCCGAAATCATAAAGCGAATATAAGAGGTAAAGTCAAGGGGGAAGGAACGGCTCGCAATATGAAAGGCAGTACTGAACACACAAAGCAGTTTGCAATGCCTTTATGATCACGCTGTGTGGGAGCATCGCGCTTGCAAGGGAGACTAGAATGACAATGACGAGACCGGTAATTCCTACTCAACCATGAATCATTCTATCAGCATGATCCCCGAGGGTAATATTGCCATGGTGAATTAAAAGAACAAATCTGGATTAAGTACAGTGTAAAGAACTATATGAAAGAAACATCACGGGCAAATTGTGCCAATCCGTTATACTGTATATTAACTGCTCTCTTCGGGGGACTGACAAGCAGGCTAAAAGTAATTCTAAATACATGTATTGAT